TGGAAAATTTGCTCACTAAACTTTGGTGTGAATTTTATTGTTTCCACAAAATTGTTGATGCTTCAAGTACATTTCCTTATATAACCATCCTCGTGTACATTTCGGTTACAGTTATTTTCATGTGGAAATCTGGAAAGATAACTAACCGAATATCAAGTGATATCCGTCTTGATATTTTTATTTTTGTTTAATGAGACAAAGCATGTGCTCTTGTAAATGTTGCAAACAGTAACAACAGGTACTTGAGTCTTGTTATGGTCTTATGACTTTGGTGTTGCCCACTCAGTGTTGATGGCGAAGTGGTTGAATTAGCGGATAAATTAGAATTTTTAGCCTGGTTTTTTGTCTAATAGGTAATACTAAGAGGCATCTGCGTTAGTACGTAACAGTACTGGTGGAACATAAGGCTTCAAGTTAAAATCTATTCGAGCGCATTAAATAAGGTTAGCTGAAATTTCACTCGATTTTGATTGGTGATCACGGATGATTATGAGATTGCTTTCATCCTTGTCTAGAGCTAATTTGGGAATCTTAATGATTTGACTAGGAAAGGCTAAAGTTTATAAGTAATGGCTGTTCTCTAAAATGTGGTAACGATTTATTACCCTTAGGTTCATATTGACGAAATCCTCTGCAGTGAGTCATTAGCAAGATACCTAGGCCATTAGAAAGTTTGAAAAAATTGTCCATGATTAATTTTCATATGTTCTTTGCGTTTCGCCCTTCACAAATATTATGGCTTAAGATCACGACATGCACATTTTATGTGTCAAAGATATCTCGGAAAAGTAGTCAATAGTTATTTTACGTTTTTTTCATCGGGTGCAGTTTGTTGCACGAAATATTTTCCTTTTGTGAATTTCAATTGATCGTTCTAATGAGTCTTAAATATAAGCAGGTAGATCATTTACATTTATTGGAGTGTTTATGGTATAATGGCAAGACAAGAATTTGTTTTGTGTTACATCAAATTTTTTTTAGTTTGTTTTTGTGCCAGTCGTTTTAGACTCACCACATGCAAATTCTTATAACTATATGGTTGTAAGGGGGTTGATTTTACAAGACTGAAACCAGACGTATTAGCCTATTCTAACTAGTAAGGTATTTGTAGCGAGTAAAGTAAGTGTCTGTACGTGCACAATATGAGGTACGACTTGTTTCGTTCAGTGATCATTTGTGATTTGATATTGCATTGAAAGCTGTGATTTGACTGCTGGATTTACGATCTATATCTATTACTTGACCCTGTCTAAAAATGTAAATCGAAAAACTTTTAACAAGAGCGATTATGATGTACTGGATTTAAACAATTTATCGTCATAAACGCACATTCAACATTTCTACAATGTCACTAGCCGTGTGGTGGTGCCTATATTTATGGCTATCATGGACCTGGTATTCTGAGAGCGAAATAATTATGTTTTCTACCCAAGTGATTAATTTTGCATTTGTGATGTTATGCCTGCCTCAAATAAGGCGTTCAAATCATTTTTCTATAGGCTGTTTTGTGAACATGTATTAGTAGATGTCAGTCAGTGTGTTGTGTGGAAATCTACGTAAATAACCTCATTAACTGTCCGTTTCTGCACCTCTTCTGCCAATCTCAAATGCTAGATGTGTTGCGGTGGTTCCTCCGGGGTCACTATTTTTGTGAAGCAGTACGTGTGGTCTTGAAACACGTTGGGCCTACTGAAATGGATCTGGTTTGACTACTTTTTTCTGCTACCCTAGATGCAGAAGAAGACTGAAGAGGATGTCAATGCAACCGTTTACCTTTTATCTCAACTAAGTCGGTGTCGTTGTTTCGTGCGTGGCATTTACGCGTGTGAATTTATACCTCAGATATGTGAAACAGCGTGAGTCATAACAGATGAAATCTCACGGTCTGAGCAAAATTGCACAGTTGCTTTAGGTTTCAAAACAAAGGCAAATGCGAGCTAATTTATTTTGCAGATGAATTTTGGGATTTATATTATTCTGATTAGCCTGGATGTACACTAAAAATGTAAAAAGATGACTAAATGTCATCGTTGTGAATCATAGAAATTAAAACAATTCTTCGCTCTATACCAATTGACGTAAACATTGGTATGCCAGATACATTCAAACTGATGCGTAATATCTATTTTTACTCCTCGTAACAGTTTTATGAAATTTGTGCTTTTATGTACTGAGTATCAATGTTTATAAGGTACTGTATAAATACAATCACAATGATGCTGTTCAGTTCACTTATCGTGATCATTCTCGCGTATACATTAATGGATTCAAGTCCCTTTCACTCGATTTTATCATCTGGCTAACCTGATTTAAGTATTAAGGCATCCTAAGTGCGCAACACCATCTCAACATTGAGAAGGTTGTTGGCTTTTATGAACTTATTCGTATGGAATCTATTATGTCTAGTTTATGATCTCTCTTAAATACATATAAAGCCACATTCCATACTATTGTGTACAAGCAAGATAAAATTAAGAATGCGATCAGTCCCTAATTTTAGCTCCAAAGGGGTAAGACAGTGCAACATACATCGAGCATTTACTAAATCTATGTAATGTAGAATAAACAGTATTAAAATAAGTATTAAATTAGTCTATGCTATTAACTTTCAAAAAATCTTTTAAAGACGGTCTATTAATAATTTTGACGCTATTCTCATGTCATCAATTTTCATTTTGCTCCTGCTTTGAACAAATTCAATTTTCGGTTTAACCTTAAAGCGTAAATGAGTTGCTTTAAAAGGCCTTTAATCTGCACGCTTGGCTAATAGTTGTACATGTTCATTCAACCTTTCTTATCATACAAATTTATTACATCCTTCTCAACAAGTCGCGTCCAGGAATTATTTGCCTAGTCAATTACCGTTAATCCAGATTACAAGCGATTTTGCATTTTGGTTTTTATAATATAAAATTTCGACATTCATGGTGACAAACTTGTCAACACAAATTAGCGCATTCATTAAAAATAAAAATGTTTATGCAAGTTCTGCGACTGTTATGATAACATGGGTATAGTTTTCATATAACTCCTGATCTCTTAGCTGCTGATCGCATTAACAACATAGCAAACGCTTTGAGAAGAGGAAGTAATAAGGAGCATAAACATTGAGTTTGGAAGAATGAATGAGAATGCCATGAATATTTCCATTGGCAATCACAATAATCGTTCTACACAGTTTGTTGATACCGAGTATATATAATGAAGATTCAGTGTAAGCATGCTTAACTCTGTATTTAATTAATAATTAGGGGAACGGGACTTTGTGACAAGGTGCCTTTCAGTATAATTAACAAAAGAAAAGTAGTGGGCGGTTGAATATGATAAAGCGTTAATCAGGATCTTTAGACATGTTATCAAGTGTACAATTTAATGCTAATTTCCACTGAATTTTTAATAACTGAATTTAAACTTCATCTGCATCAGTATTAGTGTCTACCATGTCATAGTAGCTTTCTACAATCGATAAGTTAGATTAGACCTGAAGTGATCCGCAAGGCCAAAGTCCAATTTCTTAATTAATTGCCGTTTTTAAAATTATGTAATTTTAGCTCTCAACAGCTCCTCTCAGGCTGAACTTTGTCTATCATCTTGAAGCAGCATGATGCTCAATGCAAGTCACTTAACAAAAACCCTAAGGTCAATCATCAAATCACCATCAAGTTCACACGTGTGAATCGTTTGATTTATGTGAAGGTTCTGAGACTAAAGTCTAAATCTTCGTACAGAATTTTGAGGTTTTTTTGAATATGATGAAATAGCATTATTCTTTTTTGATAAATAAAGCATTTTGTGTGGTTTGGCCATGTAAAAGTTTGCATTTTCTAGGGATCAAGTAAAGTGTTAGAGCCATATCAACAATGCCTTGTGTCACGAAAGTGTCCATAAGCCTTCTAACGAATATATGTTTCTTAACTGCGTTTTGTATGATAATTTTACTTATATGGAGGCATCTCTAGACTCAATCAATTTGTCCAGCTATAAAAAATATTTTAACCTAAATCAACCGAACCTCGTTTTCAGATAAAATAAACTACTTGTTTGCATTATACAACCCATAATGTATTACGAATTTTAGGCTATTCGTCGCCAATAACTTGGGAATAAGTAAGAACTGTTCGCATACTCAGACATCTTTATCTCGATTATTGGAGGATATCAGCCATTGGGTAATGGTCAAATGAATGCGATTGAGGATTGTTTGATCAAATTTTTTTTGTAGAAATTGAGCGTTACTAGCCGAGTGTCGTGGGATGGCTACAGATAACGTGGTTATAACTGGTGACTATTTTCTGTCATTTTAAAAGGTTAATTGTGAATTAAAGTAGTCAACTTCCACCTCAACGTACCATATTTTTATGCCGAAGTATTAAGAGATATTCTTTAACGAAGGAGTAGTTTAAAATTCTGAACACTTCCACGGTCGAAATGCACACAGCTTTAGATTCCTCATTTTTATGTTACCCTATATTAAAAGGATGTGTTTGAAAATTTTTTTAATTATGTTAACTTTTTTCAGCTGCTTTAATCATTTATTCCTTTGGTACGGAGTAAAAGATCAAGGTACTCTAAATCTAAGTTGGCGTGTAAATGCCTGAGTAAAGTTTCTGCATTGATCTTCTTCTGTTTAATGAAATATGGCTTGTTGCATCTGGAATGACAAAATACATAACCTTATGTGTTGCCTGTACTAGTAAGCGTCATTGAAGAAAAACCAGCCGTTTAAGGCTCTCGGATCATAGTACGCTTAGTAGGAGTGTCAGTAATATTGCAGAATCGGAGTGTACTTTATTAATTTCTTGGAAAAGGAGCTTTACTGTGCTGTATTACAAACATTAAATAAAGCACCTGTTCATTTGATTTAAGTAGCTATTAACATTCGACTACTGCACAACTTTTCGATTATTCTACTTATGCCCTTTGTAGTCAGTTGAAAACTGCTCACCTCCTTCGTGCATATATAGTTAATCAAGTTTCGCTGTGTCAGATGTGTGCGACCAATGCGCCTTAGCAATTCTACTAAGTCAAAACACGATACCGAAGACGGCGTCTATATAGTAGAATCAATTATCGGTGAACGCGTTGTCAAGAAGCAAAGATTTTACAAGGTTCGCTGGGAAGGCTTTTCTCCTAATGAAGATAGTTGGGAGCCTGAAAGCAACCTGTCAAGTGTTCGAGCCTTGATAAAGAAATTTCAACTGAAACAGCAATCAATTTCCACTCTCCGCCAACGTTCTTCCAAAAAAGGACACTCCCAATCGGTAATTGAACAAAATTCTAATAAACCCAACCGGAAATCGCTACATTTACACAAACGCAGGATGACCAAGTCGCGTGTGGGACACTTTGAATATGTGCCTCAAAATGAGCTTGTAGCAGCAAAAACTAAGTACTTCGATGATATTCGCAATGGGAAAATTGATTTAATCTCAAACGATTTGTATTCTCGCGTCAAAACTCGACGTCGTTGCTGTGCCGATACTCTGGGCCAGATTGAAGAAAGTAACCTTGTTCGACCTTCCAGTCTGATAGAACTTAACGATTGCTCAAGTACTTACCGAGGCACGCCCTCGCGCTACAGTGCACCTTCCACGCCAAAAACTTTCGCTCAGTGTACTGATGGGTCCATTGATGAATGCGTGTCTGCCATTTCTGATCCACCTTCTAGCAGTGTAAATCTAGAGGATCGAACCCAGGCCTCAGTTAATTTTAAAGAAAAGTTGGACCTAATTGGCCAGCAAAATTCAAGCATTATTCATCGTCTCCCTCGTTCAAAAATTGTTTGTCAACGACACATCAAACAGTCGCGTCTCTCTCGCCGACATCGCAGAAAGCAGGTGAGACTTGCTCGAATCCCTCGGTCTTCTGGTACCAAAATTTTTTTGAAGAATTCGGACTCTGAAACCGCTCCGAACTCTCTAGTTGAACCGAAAGACCAGGAATCTTTCAAAGTCTCTGAACATAACACAGCGGCTAGCAAACTCACAATTATCACGAAAACCAACTCACAGCAATTGCAAAATTCTGGTGATTCGTCTAGGTCTGAGACCGATATAAGCGATGGAAAGTCTTTTAATATGGTGAGTTTTATATATGGATTAAAGCGTCATCCTTTCAATGTATAAGATACCAGCTTTTTCCTCTCTAGTCAAATGAAGCATCGATTTTAACACCACCCCGTCAGACGGTATCATCTCCAGGGGAACTTATGTCCCTTTATTTTGACCTGGTTAACCAATGTAATCACTCGGCATCAGCCGATGGCCGTAATCTTTCGGATTTTCCAGTTGTTAAACCGCTTGATGACGGTGTGGTGCTTTCGTCGGAGAGTGAGCTAGTCACGGCTATAAACAGCCAGTATTGGAGTATTCTCGCTTCTCAGCCTATTGAAAAGTTTGTTTATGACAATGACACTTCGTCAAGTAGCAGATCCACAAATTCACAAAACTACCTGGTTGCCGCAGTAATCGGGGGTGAGGGAAGGCCATTCCTCCTCCGACGACTGCTTCAACCTGGGAACCGTTCAAATTTCATTGATCCAATTTCCGGCTGGCCCCTTCTCGTGATTGCTGTTTACTTTGGGCGCGTACACGCAGCCCAAGTCCTTCTTGAATCAGGCGCCCAACCGGATGCTTCAATTCTTGTTGGAGGGAAGCTACGAACCGCTCTTGGTGTAGCTATCACAACGGGAAACGTCGATATGGCTTCGCTTCTCATCTTAAGTGGAGCCAACTTTTACAAGGTATTTATCACCGACTTAGTGCTTTCACTTTCGTAAACGCTTCCGTCTCTTTTTAAATTGTAGGTTGAGGAAAACACAACTGCTCTAAAATTCATCATACGTCTCCTTCAGGCAGTAAAATCAAATTCATCTTATGAATCAACGGCGAAGGCCTCTTCAGGTAGTCTGACCGGCGAGTCGAATATTTCGAACAGGTTCCATCTGCATTCACCAAATCCCGAATTAATGCCAATTATCCAACCTCCAGAGGGTGTCACTATTCCTCGCTCTCCCTATGACTATCTACTTCCGACATCATCCACGAATCCCTGTCCCAGCATCCCGTTGAGACCTTTTGATGGTAAAACGCAACAATTCCCAACTGCTGATGCCCTCAGCCGCCTGTATGAGCTTATTTCTTGTCACCACGCACGTCTTTCTTTAGCCATTGACTCTCTAGTTCGTCGGTGGCTGTCTTCAGTGAGAATGGTCCTATGTAGTCTTGTAATGCCTTGTCAGTGGATCAATTTATGTGAAAAGTCGTTCACATTATCATTTTCAATACCCCGAGTTCAAGATTTACCCAAGGAGGAATCAGCTCTGGTACTTTTTCTGATTCATGGGATCGTGACACCCCCAGGTGTTTATCACGTTTGGTTGGAAGAGGATGGACCTTGTTTTGTTGGTCAAGTTATGTTCAATAATGTGGAGCAAAGGGCTCTAGGGAGGCGGCACTTTGTCTCGACCTTGCATCCACTTGATAAACAGAGGGAAGAACAGTTGGTGAGTGTCCAGCTTACCAACGCCGAGAAGGGTGTGTGTATAGCCGCGATTGTAATTAGATTGAAGCCTATTTCAGACCCCCGAGCCCCTAAAAACTGCAGCAGCACCCAAGAGACCACTAATATCCCGCGTCTGAGGTCCCTTCAATCCGTTTCCGGTCTTCGGCCGCGATTGCACTAGTTCGTTTACATTGTACAAGTAAACTCTGCCCAGGTCTTTCATTATCCACTTTCGTGTAGTGTATTCCAGTTGAATGCGTGCTCTCGCCCGACTACCGTTGATTTGACCACTGTGATAAAATTCAGAAGCACCCATTTTGTTAGTCTTTTCTTTCTGCGCAGCATTCTCGATTACTTCGCATGCGCAAACCTGTTTCCTCGTTCTACGCAAACGCCAAACCACTCTCCTGTTTTTGTTACTTTGTCGTTTGTCTTTGGTTTGAGTGTTTTGACACCGCTTCTCTCCTCATTTTGCCTGACCTCCATATAAGACTAGTGTTTTAGAGCGCCATGACTAATTCTGTGTTATGTTCTTGATTTTGACGACCTAAAGGCCAGAATAGAACCTGTGATAGTGCTAAACATTCATCTTGATTTTCATTCTGGATCGCCGCCTTGTTCAGTAGATGAAATCGGGACAGTTTTTTGGGAAAAATTGTTGAGAACATCAGGATGCATAGCGATGTGAACTTCGATTGGCCGACATTGTTTCTCCCAATATTATTGTGCACGAATGAAGACAAATTCGAATCAACGACATTTACGTGTCTGGCTTGTTCCTGCTAGTTTACCAGGTTTTGTGTGTCCACCATGCCAAGTTTGTCGCATGTGCCTTTTGTAGTACCCTCGTACTACTAAACGCATGATTGTAGTAGGGTGAACCGAACTAATTTGTCCGAGCAGAACTACTTCTACAAAACGGCACCCGCTCCTCCGTAGGTCAGCATTACTGGCAAACGCAGACTCAGGCAACAAGTGGGGGTAAATAGGTTCTCAATGAGTCTGTAGTGGGTTTCGAAAATGCAAGTTAATACATATAACTAAGCAGTCAAGTGAGCAAACCTATCTACCCAAAATTTTCGCAGAGGTCAGAGTACCGGAGAATTTGCAAAATTATCAGCAGTTTCACTCCGAGTTTGCTTACAATACTCTAAGGATCGCTCGGTACTTTTTAAATTAATTGTCACTCTCTTTGTGAAGTACATACTGTGTGGCCTTCGAGTAGATATTACCAGCAAACATCAGTCCACGAATTTTGGGCTAACATTGTTGGCTAAAGAATTACTCGATTTTCGGGTAATTTGTGCCTTGTGCCATAAGCGTTGTGGGTGCCGTTAGGGGCTGACTTCTAAAGAGCTTCCTTCCCCTGAATGCACTCACCCAAAATCATGCATGTGTTGCAGAACAGTGCAAACATGCAGACGCAGGTGAATTGTCCCATGGTAGAAACTAATTCTATGTCAGACGCAAAGTCAACTCGCGGGATTTGTACACATTTCAAAGATAAGTATCATTGTGATTTACTTGGAAAAACAAACAAAGCCAGATGGCTGATCAGTATTAATCTAGTATGTTGACGAAGCTTATGAAAACAATGACTTAGAAGTGTAGGTAAGAAGCATGTCTTAGTACAAGGTTCGGTGATTAAGGCAGGACAATTCAGTCGAAGAAGCCGTCATCAGAGTTGGTCTAAGTTATTGTTCGGTTGTGGGCCGATATGCACAGCTGGAATTCAAGCACATTTACACAACTTGAACGGAAATAAATGCTAGTTGACATCAAATGCAGTATTCTGTTGGTAATCGCCAATTCAATCAAGACAGATGGGTGCGTCAATTGGATCTGAGCATTTCGGTTACAAAAAGCTGGTCTGCACAATTCATTAATTCAATTATTATTATTATTTTCATCGTCATAAGCTGAGATACTTTAAACAAAATATTGTAGTTTGAGTCTGATGAGCCTGCTGACAGACATCGTGTTCATACATCCGAGAGAAAGGTTACTGCACCTTAAAATATAAAAAAAAAACACCAACAGAGATACGTTCAAAGCCAAGTTGTACAAGTCTTGGTGTGCCTAACGTAGAAGGATGTTCATTGAAACGGTCATCGAAAAGACTCGTGGGAATACTTAGAATGCTTTGGGAAGTAGACCAAACCCATGTCGTTCTTGGTCATTGATCCACAAAATTAACGGTGGTCGTGTTGGTGGTGGTAGTGGCGGTGGCGGTGGCGGCAACTACCGGCTGCTAGTGCTCTCTTGCTTCTGCCAAAACGGAACGTGCTTAATTAAATCTGAGCTACAGCACAAATGCCATTTTCAAGTAGTTCATCCACGATAATGCATCACAATTCATCAGTCAAGAACAGAAACGCTTCCACGTTGATCACCACTTCTAGGGGTATTGGAGTACTTCTCACATTTATAACATTCCAGCGAATGACATACGCACCTGGGTGGAGATCCACTGAGGTGGTTGTGATACAATACAACCGCATTATTTGATTAACATTTACGCACAACTGAATGACCAGTAACTCTCTTCTACCCCTATTGTGCCGCTTTCTGTCTACCGCAAACACCCCAGGCCAGCCCGCGTGTCGTTGAAAGGACCTTTATCGTGTGCTGCAGCGACTAGGCTCTTCAACGCCTTGAAAAGTAATTTTGTCCTCTCAATGTTAATCGATGGTCAACTTCCATCATTCAACTACAGTTCACTCAACAGTATATTTCCCAGCTTCGAAAATCGACTCTGTGACTTCAGGCCCAATTGCCCTTAACATTTGTAGCAACTAATATTTGTTTGAGAGATTTGCTTCGATGACTGCAGTTAGCACTGGAAATTTATCCCTCGGTGTCTTAAAGACAGTTACTGACTACTTACGTTTACACTCGAGAACCGACTTGACGCCGTTATTTGAACCATTCTCTATCATCATCCACTCCTATTGCCCACATCATAAGACGTAAAGGAGAGACCGATGGACTGGTCACACAACATGACATAACAGTAAATTGTCTCACTCGTCGAGGGCTTCATTCTAACTCTTCTGCCTTGTGCCTTCGCATGCAATTTTCTGATGCATTCGTGCATATAATTTAAACACGGACCAAACACCGAAATGGCCGTGTCATTTCCCACAGCCTCTAATCTGTGACCCATCGATCTAGGTTACCAAGTCACCGCTCACAATTCAGACGGGCACTTGTGTCCACGTGTTCGGGAAGGGTGGCGTTACGCGTTGGTCGGGCAATTGTTTGTGTCTTTGTTTAGTATTAGTCATTACTTCAATAAAATTGGTGCAGGCATGTACAACACATTTGTGAGCAATTGGAGGTCAGAATGACAGATCGTATGTACACGTGCTCACACGACGAAGTTTAAGACGAATGTGGCTTCCGCCAAGTTTGACAATGCGGACCACTTGGGCATGGGTCAAGGCTGCAGTAGCCGTCCCGTTGATTTCCAAAACCTCGTCGCCAATCTAAAATGACAGAGCAGGAGAAGAGAGGGATAAGTGCGCAGCGGTGCAAATCAAGCTTATTGCCAACCAAATCACCCGATGTGAACAAATGCGTTACAAACAATACACGAATTTCGTGTTATCAAAAATACATTTCCTCAAGTACAGCAGCCAAATGCTCCTATTATTCGCTTTAGTCATCAACTACTTTCACGCCTGAAATCAAACATCGTAAGTGGTAGTGTCGCAAGTGATTTCAGCTGACAATCAGAATAATGCGATCAATTGTTGCCCTGTCCTTATCAAAATCGTGTGGTTCCACTTTGAAATGGCATCCGCAACACACTGACGAAGACGACCTCAATCTCACTCACTTGCATTTTCTCATTACGAAACGCTGGACTTCCCTTCTCAATGCGGAGGATGAACATGGGGGTCTGCTGACGTTCGTGGCCTCCTCGAATGGAAAATCCGAAGCCACGGGCTTCTGCCGTGAGATTCACGGTATAACAGGTGGGCTCTTTCAATTTCGGACTCACTGAAGAGGGCTATAAGGAATCGAACATTAAAAAAGCAAACGTGTGGGCGTTTCTGAGGTTGGACACTTCACAGTATGCAAGTGTACCATCATTGTGTCAACAGATCTGGTGGATAAGCACAATTTTAAGCATGCGTATCGCCTACCACCTAGATTCACTAATGTTGCTATGGAACTACTCAAATTAATCAATTCAAAGCGACTCAGATGATGCTGTGACTCGGTGGAGTTCGATTCGGAAGCCACAACATTCTACGCAGCACCAAACCAAAACACTTTTCTTGACATCCTCGTCGATATCCAAAACCCTAATCAACAACTCTCACGTCTATTACTATTAGCTTCTGGTGCAAAGACCACTTTGTTAATCTTATATCTAAACCGCAGATTCAGAAGAAGTGTGAACGCCTAACTTGCCTCTCAAGCAATCATTAATTCACGAAAATTCGATGTATTCGATTAAATGCGTGTGACTAATAAGTCAAAACACAGTTTTTTTCTTTTCAAAATGCCCCCATATTTGCAAAGCAGAGCTATGTCTAAGGTGCTTGATGTAAGGCAAATTCAAGTTCAGTGACTAAGCAACACACAACTATGACAGCTCTACTTTCTAAGGAGCATCTATTATGTACGAAATGATATTATTCCCGGAAGAACCGGTGACACCTCAAGTACTAACATTTGCTTGAGAATAAACCTTTCACACATCCTCCATCATTGTTCGAATCTCCCTGTGCTTGGAATTCTTCATCAATTAACTTGAAACAGTCGCCTGCCTATAATATGAGTATTGGTATGACAGAACACACCTGCTTGTCGTTTGCGCATCAGAATTTTATTCAATTCGGTGCACTAGGGCACATTCAGAGCACTGATGAACGCGAAAAAGTGACTTTGCATGAGAGCGAAATCCCGTGGCTGTGAGGCTAATCTCAAACCGGACTAGTGCCCATCGGTATATGGGATGAGAAACCAATGGGCACGTAAACAAGCCCTCCTTTCGCGTACTGTTCAACGAATGCACCCCAAGAACACACCACCAAGCAAAAATTCGCGCAACTATGTGTGCAGAATTCGGCCACCTCTGAACAGGATTCGCCATCCGAAAACACGACTATCCAATGGAAAATCGGGGTTATTTATGAGCTCACAACACCACTGCACTGTCGAATCTCCATTTGTTTGATCGGGTCTTGGCAAGACTACTTGAATGAAAACAAAATGTTACACTGGAAGGATAACGGAATTTAAGTCACCACAAGTTCTGCACTGCTGCTTTGTACGTTCTATCGCCCATGGCATATAGAAAGGCACATTAGCTGTACATCGATTTCCACCACATGCACGTAAACGAAACATGGAATGGCAAGAGGTGTAACACTGAGAATATTGTGCATTCAAACGCAACTATTGCGGCATTGCTGGGTCTCTCCAACACGCGAGAGCAATCGGCAAATTCACGTCGCAGTTGAGCGTTTCTGTGGCCCAAGTGCTGCCTTCGCCTTTCTGGCGAATGGCCTGCATGTCGAGCAGCGCGTTTTGTGAGTCAGCATGACCGGTTTTTAGGTGAACACTGCGTTGCCAAGTCGAATTTATCTCGCCCACAATATCGAGTAAGCAGTCTACTTCATAGCACGACGAAGGGTTTCACCTTCAGTGCAACTTCTTAAGTTCAACGCGCTTTCGCCTAATATCTCCAGGACTGCCAAGTTACCACATAGAGGACGAAAGTTGGTGCATAATTTGTGACAACCTTTGAAGCAAGTGAAGCTAGAACTTAGACAAAAGTTTGAAATTATTCTCGGTTCGATTACCTAGACTACAATCATGCGCACTGTTGAGTTTCAAAACGCGCGCGCCTTCATTAATCAGGGAGTTGAGAATCACTGTGTTACAAATCCACGCTTTGTATTGTGAGACGAACCGTCTAACTACAATGCAAACTTAAAATCTTATCGTCTGATGTATCTTTTCTAACGCTGCTGCAGAAGGCCTTGACACCATAATGAGGCAACTGACATCAGTAGGAGCATATGACGATGCAAGTGCGGATGAGCACAGAATTGACCAGGGCCACTGTTATCCAGGTGCCATACTCTGCCAAAGAAACAAAGCCACCTAGACCGGCATCCACAAAGATGGCTTTGTTTCACACAAAACACCCAACACTTGATTTTGTTTGTCACGTCGTCGCTTTCAAACAAACTGCAGTCTATCTGCCATGTCTACCCTCATGCTAACGAATTATTGGGTATTTTCGAAATATCGTGGTCTATT